GCCCAATTTCTTTCTATTTTTAGTAGAGACGGGGTCTCGCTCTTGCTCAGGCTGGTCTCAAACTCCTGAGCTCAAACAATCCACTCGCCTTGGCCTCCCGGAGTGCTAGGATTACAGGCGTGAGCCACTGCGCCCGGCCCCTTTGTTCTATTTTTGTCGTCTATATTTTTCTGCTTTTTGTTGTTTCAAATGAGCATTTTATATGATTATATTTTCTTTCCTTTCTTAACATATCATTATATTTCTTTTCTTTTCTTTTCTTTTCTGTTTTTAGTGGTTGCCCTAGAGTTTGCAATATACATTTACAACTAGTCCAAGTTCACTTTTAAATAACACTATACAAAGGTATACACTATATTCACAGGTAGTGCTGACACCTTATAATAACATAGTGTTCCTCATTACTCCCTCCCATCCCTTGTATCATTGCTGTCATTTATTTCACTTACACATGAGCACACATAAGTGTATATACACACATAATCAAATACATTGTGGCTATTATTATTCTGAATAAACTATTATCTGTTAGGTTAATTAAGAATAAAAAATAAAAGTTTTTATTTTAACTTCACTTACTTCTTATCTAATATTCTTTACTTCTTTATGGAGATCCAAGTTCTAACCTCTATCATTTTCCTTCTCTCTGAAGAATTTCTTTTAACATTTCTTGCAAAGCAGGTCTACTGGTGACAATTTTCCTCAGTTTTTGTTTGTCTAAGAAAGTCTTTATTTTGCCTTCGTTTTTGAAGAATAATTTCACAAGAAACAGAATTCAAAGTTAGTGGGTTTTTCTCTCAACACTTTCAATATTTCACTCCACTCTCTTGCTTGCATGGTTTCTGAGAATAAGTCAGATGTAATTCTTATCTGAGCTCCTGTATAGGTAAGCTATTTGTTTCCTCTGGCTTCTTTCAATAATTTTTTCTTTATTTTTGATTTTCTGGAGTTTGAATATGATACACCTTGATTTTTTTCTTTTTTTGGCATTTATCCTGCTTGTTATTCTCTGAGATTCCTGGATCTGTGTTTTGGTATCTGACATTAATTTTGGGGAGGATTCTCAGCCATCATTGTTTTAAATATCTCTTTTATTCTTTTTTCTCTTTCCTCTCCTTCTAATATTGCTATTACACGTACATTATACCTTTTGTAGTTGTCCCACAGTTCTTAGACATTCTGTTTTGGTTCTTTCCCCAGTCTTTTTTTCTGTTTGCTTTTTGGTTTTGGCAGTTTCTGTTGACATATCCTTAAGCTCATAAATTCTTTCCTCAGCAATATTCAGTCTCCTATTGAGTCCATCACAGGCATTCTTCATTTCTGTCACAGTGTTTTTGATCTCTAGCATTTCTTTTTGAGTCTTCCTTAGAATTTCGGTCTCTCTGCTTACAATCCATCTGTTCTTGCATGTTGTCTACTTTTTCTGTTAAAGTCCTTAGCATATTAATCATAGTTATTTTAAAATCCTGGTCCGATAATTTCAACATTCCTGTGATGTCTGACTTTAGTTCTGATGCTTGTTCTGTCTCTTCAAACTGTGTTTTTTTGCCTTTTAACATGCCTTGGAATTTTTTATTGGAAGCCTGACATGATGTACTGAGTAAAAAGAACTATGGTAAATTAGGCCTTTAGTAATGTGGTGGTAAGGTGTGGAGGAAGAGGAAGCAGTCTATATTCCCTTGATTAGGTGTCAGTTTTTTAGTTATCCTGTGTCCCTGGCTTGTGAACTTCACTAGCACTACTCATTCCTTCTTAGGTGGGACAGGATGGCTAGAGAGGGCTGGAGTTGGGTATCTCCCTTCCCCCACGTGAAGGCTAGAGCTGGCTGGAGGTGGGTATTTCCCTTCCTCCATGTTAGTTATGCTCTGATAAAACTCCAATAGGTTATGCTCGGTAAAATAGTTTCTCCTGAGGGTACGCCTTATTAAGAGGAACAGAATGCTCTGGTGCATTTCAAAATGGCTACTTTTCCCCTCCCCCTGCCTGAAGCATGAGACGTATTTTCCTCTAACCTTCACTGGGAGAATCTGGTAGAGCTACTGAAGGTAAAACTCAAAGTGTGGGCGTGCTCTCCTATAATAATATTGGACCCCCTGGAGCTCCCAACTCTCAAACTTGTCCACACTGAGCCCTCAACAATTTGTCAACTGCGGTTTAGGTTTTTCTACCCTGCTACTAGTTCCCGTGGAGGTTTCTGCTTGTGAGTCTCTGCTCTGGTAAGTTGTGATTCTCTGTATCTGCCTGTCTTTCTCACCAATTTTTGGAGCAGCAGTTTTCCCTATGACCTCAATTCTCTAATGGATCTAAGGAAAAAATGTCTGTTTGTTTCTTTCAGTGTGTTTAACTGTTTACTTCTTGTTAGGATGGAGTAACAACTTTTAAGCCCCTTACATGTAGACTGGAAACTGGAAGTCCTCTTTCTTCTTTTTTAATATCAGCATTTACAACTATATATTTTTCCTTAAGCACTGTTTAACTGCACCCCATGAGTTTTTGTAATGTTGTGTTTTCATTTTCATTTATCTCAAAGTAGTTTCTAATTTCTTTTGTTGTGTTTGGACTTTCTATAGGGGGTAACACTTTGATTCCATCACTAGATTAATTTCAGAGAACATCAGTACCTCCAGACCCCTGCATTTATACTTTGAGAGGGTAGTTTCTGAGGAATAGAGGAACTGAAAGTAGACATGAGTGGCTCGGAGTAGGGGCTACAACTTAATCCCCAGCTTTTGCCTGTGGCCTTCTATGCCTGTGATTCTCAACTGGGAGTAATATTGCCCTTCAGGTGACATTTGGCAACATTTGGACACATATTTGGTCCTCATAAGTAGGGTGGGGGTGAGATGTAACTGGCACCTAGTGGGTAGAGGCCAGGGATGCTGATAAACATGCTACAATGCACAGGGTATTCCATTATAGCAGAAAATTATCTGGTCTGAAATATCAATATTGCTGCCATTGAGAATCCTTTTCTTAACCCCTTAAATTCATGGGACTGTTTCCCACTCACCCAGCACCTGCCTGTATAGTGTCTCACCACCTCTTCACAATGGTCCCTGAGGTAGGTGAAATGTCATAATCTGAGTTGAGGTGAGTGAAGCCTTAAAACTGAAGCAACCTGTCAGTGAGTAGCAGAGTCAGGACCACCATCCTCCAGTCCAGTTGTTTCCCAGAAAGCCCACAGTGACCTGGGTCTCCACTTGCTTTGACTACTCCACCTGTCAAAAGCAAATCGTCATGCATTGTCTTGTGAGTATATATGTCTGGCATATTGGTAAGCTAGTGCACTTCTCTTACTTACCTAAGGATGTTTTACTCTGTCTTGTAACCCTCTGTTTAATGCTGCCCTCTGCACACAGAGTGGAAACTCCCTGTGGGCAGCACAGCATTTGGCACAGAGTAGGCACTCAGTAAATTTTGCAGAATGAATTAGAAGATATGAAATAAAATATACCAAAATGTTAACTTAGTTATCTTTAAGACCTTGAAATGAAGGTTATACTTGCCTCCGGAAGAGGCTGGGAAATGGGGTGTGACTGGCAGCGGGAGAGAAATTATGGACCCATATATTGATTGTTTTGCCTATAGGAGTTTTATTGTTATTTATAATAATGATCGGTATTATTTCCTTTGTTAAATTCCTCGCATTTCAGCCTCCTTTTCTCTTTGAATTGTTCGTAGTAGCACATTTTGCCTTTATTAAAAGACCAGTTTTAACTCTGCTTAAAAATTCACTGTATCCTCAGATTTCGTTCCCTAAAGGTCTTATCAGAAACATAAAAATCTTTTGTGATATTTGACATCACAGTTATCCTTAAACTATCCCAACATGGAATTTCTATGCCTTAAGGTAGCTGACCGCAATTTTCTCATCCATAAAATGGGAATAATGATTTTTTGTTAATTAACCGAGACCTTTCCTGAGAATAAAGTGATTTAAAGCACACGAAAGCATTTTAAACAGTACTGTGCACGTGTCAGGGCCCCTCCAGTTATGGGTAACTCTGAAAAATTGTGATCTTGTGAGTTACGCGGTATAACCAGTTGTTATGCAATTATTAAAGTAGTTTGCTAAATTGAAACAAAGTTCATTCAGATTTTGTGCTTTTTACTTACAGTGCTAACCTGAGTAAATAGGACCTTTTTCCCCCTAGTAATTTGGTTAAAATATCTAAAGCCATATTTTACCTTGGGCTGTCTTGACAATTACAGTATGTTGACCTTTGTTTCTTCATAGGTGTTACAGAACATCTTGGACACTGAAAAAGAGTATGCTAAAGAACTTCAGTCTCTTCTTGTTACTTACTTAAGACCCCTGCAGTCCAATAACAAGTAAGATTTTTATTTTAAACCCCTAGCTAAATAAAGCAAAATAGTGTCAGCATATGGAGTCATTACTTTTATGTCACTGAATAATTGATTTTGCCCTTTAGAAGAATTTCCACAGATCACAGGTTGCCAAGAACATGGTCAGGGCAGCAGAAAGTATGCAAGATGTTGCTTTTGGAGAGCTTGGAATTTTTTCTCTTCTGCCTGTAAAAGGAACGAGCAGACCTGCTTTTCTGCCTGTTATAATTTTTATCGTGTACTTTTTAAAAGTGATGTGTCTGGTTTTACCTTACAGGAAAAAAAAAGGATTCTCTGGTGTTTTTATTCCAAAAGCACATAGACTGGAAATTCTTGTGCTCACTCTGACCTTTGCTTGCCAGGGCAGAACCTCTTTCCCATGCTCCGAGAGTGGAAACAATGTGGCATTTTTTGAGTACTCATAAGAACAATTCAAGCCAGTATTTCTCCCAGGCAAATGTGAATGATAAACAGATGTTAAAGTATTTTTTAAAACAAAATGTTCAGACCCCATTCTGGTCTTAGAAATCTGAAATGATTGTCTAAGGCCTGAATTGAAAACTTTAGTTTTCATGAAAGAAAAATATTGACCATTGATTTTATTATGCTTATAGGCAGAACATATTTAACAAATAGTGGCTAACTGCATTCATTTGTTTTTATTTTAAGTGATTAAATTTCATTAGAGATCATGATCTATAAGTCAAATAGAAAATTTAGCAGCCAGCCCATAAAATGGAAAATGAAAGCCTCTCCTTTTACCTCAGTAAGAGTTTACTTTTGCTGGACAGTTGCCTAAATCATCAACTTTAAGCTTAAATAAATTTAATATATTTCATTATTTTTTTCTGTTTTTCCAAATTATGCTTGTTTAAATATAATGTGTTGCTAATTTTCCCACTTGGTTATTCTCCTGGCACTGTGGGAATCTTACTCCAGTATGAAAGGATTTTGTATTCCTGTGTTGTAAGAGTTTAAACATGATCAACAACAAAGTGTTTTTTGTTATTATTATGTGAAATATGAAGTGTTCTGTGAATCATAGTTTTAGAGCTGAATGGAACCTCAGTAAAGCATTGGGTCTAGTGCCCTGGGAAAATGACTATCCTCACTCAATAGAGAAGAAACTGAATTCCAGAGTTCACTTTCTTGTCCATTACACAGCCAGTAAGTGGCCAGGTTGGGTCCACTGTATCTCCTGCCACTGAGTGAAATGTGCCTTCTGTTTTCTGGAGGTGACAGGCAGAGGAGGAGAGGGAAACTGAAGTGGTAACCCTGGGAAGGGAGACGGTAAAATGTCAAATGAAAGCGGGGGAGATTAGCAATCAAGAAATAGTAAGAGGGGCCGGATGCAGTGGCTCACGCCTGTAATCCCAGCACTTTAGGAGGCTGAGGCAGGAAGATCGCTTGAGGCCAGGAATTTGAGACCAGCCTGGGCAACATAATGAGACCACCGCCTCAACAAAACATAGATAAATTAACTGAGCGTGGTGGTGCCCACCTGTAGTCTCAGCTACTTGGGAGGCTGAGGCAGGAGGATCACTTGAGCCCAGGAATTGGAGGCTGCGGTGAGCTATGATCGTGCCACGGCACTCCAGCCTGGGCAGCAGAGTAAGACTCTGTCTCAAAAAAAAAAAAAAAAAAATAGTTAAGAGGAAAAAGAAAAGAGCCAGGGCGGAGGAGGTGAGAGACCTGAGTCAGACCTGCACAGTTCCTAAACAAGTTCAGAATGCAATTATATTAATAGTAAGTTTCCATTAGTTCTGACTATCTTTTTGCCCCCGAAGTGATTTGAGCAAACCAGACTGATTATTGTTTGATCCTGAAGGGGCCAAATAAGCCCCAACTCAGGTTCTTGCTGCTCTGAGAGAGCAACAGGCAGGGAAGCTGGCTGGCTAAAGGTTTCGCTTTTGACACCCAGAATAGGGGTTTTCCAGCTTGCGGTTCAGGAGAGCATTACAGCAGAGGAACTGGGAGCTTTTTATTCTCTAGGGGTTACCGGTAATGTTTGTTTGGGTCTTCCCTTTATTAGTCAGCAAAAATTATTCTCTTGGGAATATTGCACTAGTATTATTATTGTATATTATTAAGGAGAAAGAACATGTGGCAGCCACTGGCCTTCTAAGCAAATCTTCCAAAATGTTTTCTCCCAAAAAGTGGTTGAGAGCATGGACTCTGGAGCTAGAATATTTTGGTTCAATTTCTGTCTTTGCCATTTACCGGTTTTGTGGCTTTGGGTGATCTACTTCATTTCTCTGTGCCTGTAAAATGGAGCCAGCAATAGCACCTATCTCACAGAGTTTTTGTAAGATTGAAACAAGTTCTTATTTGTTAAATGCTTGCATAAATGTTCAATGCTGTATGAGTGTTGGCTTTTGTTATTATTATCACTTACAGTCTGGTAGGGATGACAACATTCTTCATACGAGGCCCTGGATAAAATTGTTCAGTTTGCCTTTTATTTGATGCCACTCCACTCCAAAAATAAACAAACAAAATCAGTACTATTTTCTTCCCTTCTGCTTCCTCTCATAAAGATTTCCTTTAGTTGATTCGTGAGCATTTTAGTTTAGGTGAAAGCTGACTTTGCTATTTTTTCCTGTGCATTATGTGAGCATACATAATATCCTTCAATTACTTTTCCAGTTCCTCTAGAGGAAGGTACTCAAAAGTTTTTTATGCTTATTCACAGCTATGAGGTATTTTTATCTCTTTAGATACTTAGATATTAAGCACTTGTCATTAATTTACTCATTGCTTTATAAAATACCTAAATGTCCTTTATGACGCTCACTTTCTTTAGGATCAATATTCTTGTTATATAAAAGGGAAATAAAGGAAAGGAGCTTAAGAAATTTGCCTAAGACCATAGAGCTGGTGTAAATTAAAAAGCAAAAGTTAAAATATAGGAATTCTTCCCTTATATTTGCCATATATTAGCAAACTATCAGCTAACTAGACAGAGATAGATAACTAAAGTCATCCTCAAGTTCTGTTAACTACATGTACTTTGTTTGTTTTTTTTTAGTCTGAGTACTGTGGAGTTTACATCTTTACTGGGAAACTTTGAGGAAGTATGTACATTTCAACAGACACTCTGCCAAGCCTTGGAAGAATGTTCAAAGTAAGTGTGGCATATTTCTGTTTAGATAGCCAGCAAGGTTGTTTGTGTTTTGTTTTCCTTTTACTTGTTGCTTTAGATAAGAGCACTTTATATTTATACATTTATTACAGTTTTGATACATTGTCCCAGAGCAAAGTAACAATACAGAGACAATGCACTAGGTGGTGGTGTTCACAGTGTCAAACAACTGTTAGTATTACCAGCAGGTCTCTGCATTGGTAGGTAGAGGTACTAGAGCTATGTTTGGTGGCTAGAGTTTAAAGCAGTGGTCAAGAGCCTGCATTTCACGGGTAAAATAGTTATAGTTTCTCTTTTAACTTTGGCAAAACTTTTGAAAAGTTTTAATGCCGCCAGCTTTAACTGGTAATCATCTTCCTTTACCGCTTGTTTCTTGTTTTACATTCTGTGTTTCATCTGTTTTGTTTACAGGTTTCCGGAAAACCAACAGAAGGTAGGAGGCTGTCTACTGAGTCTCATGCCTCATTTTAAATCCATGTATCTGGCTTACTGTGCGAATCATCCTTCAGCTGTAAATGTGCTCACCCAGCACAGGTAAATCATTAATGTTTCTCCAACGAAGCTGTTTTGCAATGAGATTCTTTCTTAGGACCACCTTATTTGGAAATCCATGGGATCCCATTGAGCTTTTGATTATCACTGTTCATGATTCCAGGCATTGATTCATTGTTACATGGAAGGATCATCCATTAATACAACAAATAATTTATTGAGCACCTACTATGGGCAAGACCCTGTACTAGCTGATGGGGATATAGTAGTGAACAAGGAGGAGAAGGTACCCACCCTCATGGACCTTAGAATCTTGAGGGAAATGTGGATATTATTATAAACATGTTGTATTACAAAAGGGTAATTAAAAGGATACAGTGAGATTTTGCAGTGTTGGTATCAACTAAGTGGTATGGGAGGAAGGGTCAGGGAAGCCTTTCTGAAAGCAAAATTCTACTTCGATCCAATGGTTTAGGCTTCCTCTGCCCCAATGAATGTTTTATCAGAGTTGCTGACAAATAGCTAAACTACATAGCTTCATCTCTTTTCACTTTCCCTCCTTGCCTGGGTAGAGGAAGTCTCAAGCAGTGACATGGCTAAAAGGCAGGGAAAGGTGGAAGAAAACCAACACTGGGAGCTGTGTGACTGGTACTTTAAGCAAAGTGCTTTGATAATACTTATACATGGATATAAATTGTTGCATATTCATGAGGAACAATAGAATAGTGTCTCCTTTAAGAATAAGTGTTCTTGTAAGGGACCTAGATAAAGGCCACATCTCTCCCACCCTTCCTTAACCTCTGGCAACCCATCCCTGACACATTCACTGACACATTAATCTGGACCAGAAAACTATGATAGGCTTGAAGACGCAGTTTTACCTTTGAAGTCACGTGCTGGAAATTGAGGTGGGACAATAGCAAGAACAATACACAGAGACTCTGTTGACTTTACTTGGAGACTAGATTCACACAGGCATGGATTCTGGAGGCTGCTCAACACTGAAAATAATATTCTTCTCAATCTGGCCTAGATTTGAACTCCCAGAGCCAGGCTAGAACATTAGTTGTCACCAACCCTCAGAAGTGGCAGGCTGGGCGCGGGCTCACACCTGTAATCCTAGCACTCTGGGAGGCTGAGGCGGGGGGATCGCTTGAGGTCAGGAGTTTGAGGCCAGCCTGAGCAAGAGCGAGACCCCATCTCTACTAAAAATAGAAAAATAAGCCAGGTGTGGTGGTGTCTGCCTGTAGTCCCAGCTACATGGGAGGCTGAGGCAGGAGGATTGCTTAAGCCCAGGAGTTTGAGGTTGCTGTGAGCTAGGCTGACGCCATGACACTCTAGCCTGGGCAACAGAGTGAGATGAGAAGTGGTAGAAATTTTGGTTCTTGTCCTGGCTTGTTAGGAGGTTTATTTATTGGCTTTATAGAGCTGTTTTGTGAAGACATTTTAAAAGTTGAATTCACTAAATTCTACTTGAAGGTCAATTTTATTCCCCTAATTGAAGTTTTGAACTTTTATGAAATAGCAAATATGGAAATTAGAGTTTAAAGAGAGAAATGCCATGAACCTGGGATTTTTAGGCAAGTGGTTGAACTGCTTGTAGCTAACATTAGCTAATAATAGCACTGACAATGTGCCAGGCACATGATGTAAAAGCATATGAGGGAGTCACTACTATTACTGTCTCTGCTTTACAGATAAGACATTGGAAGGCTTAGGTTAAGTAATCTGCCCAAGAACTCATAGCTGTTAAGTGGTTGAGCCAGAATCCAGGTCTGTCAGACCTCTAAAAAATGTTTTTATTAAGATACTTATTTTATCCTCAAAAAGAATAATCTAAATGCAAATTTAAAGAATTATAATAAAATGAGCACCCATGTACCCATCACCCAGCTTAGGAAATAGAATGTTACCATTTCTTTTTTTTTACCATTTCTTTTTTTATATAACAGCTTTATTGAGGTATAGTTTGCATACCGTACAATTCACCCATTTAAGATGTACAGTTAAATGACTTTTAGTATATTCGCAGAGTTGAGCAACTAGCACCACGATCAATTTTTGAACATTTTCATAACCCCCCAAACAAACTGATACCCATTAGCAGTCACTCCCCTTTTCCCCTCAACCTCACTAGCCCAAGGCAACCACACTACAGTACTTCATGTCACTATGGATTTGCTTATTCTGGACGTTTCGTTTAAGTGGAATCATACAACACATGTCCTTTTGTGTCTGGCTTTGTTCACTTAGCATAATTTTTTCAAGGTTCATTCACATCGTAGCACGTATCGGTACATCATTTTCTAAATTGCCAAATATTCCATTGCATGGATACCACATATCGTTCTCCCATTCACCAGCTGATGGACTGTGACTAGTGCTGCTATGAACATTAATGTACAAGTCTTTGCATGGACATATGTTTTCATTTCACCTGGGAGTGGATCATATGGTAACTTTATGTTTCACTTTTAGGGGAACTGTCAGATTCTTTTCCAAAGTGACTGCACCAATTTATTTTGCTACTAGCAGTGTATGAGGGTTCCATTTTCTCCACATCCTCGCCAACATTTGTTATCGTCAGACTTTTTGATTATAGCCATGTTAGTGGGTGTGAAGTGGTTTCTCATTGTGAGATTGATATGCATTTTTGTCATGAATAATGATGTTGGGCATTTTTCATGTACCTATTGGCAATTTGTATATCTTCATTTGGAGAAATGTCTATTCAGATCCTTAGCCTGTTTTTAAATTGGGGTGTCTTTTTATTGAGATATAATTTACAAACCATAAAATCAACCATTTAAAAGTGTACAGTTCAATGTTTTTTAATGTATTCACAAGATTGTGCAGCCATCACCACTGTCTAGTTCCAGAGTGTTTTCATGACCTTCTCCCCCCAAAAAACCCCTGTACCCTGTAGCAGTCACTCACCATCTCTCTGATGGCTAATAATGTTGAGCATCTTTTTGTCTTGCTTATTGAATTTTTTTTTTTAGACAAACTCTCTCACTCTGTCACCCCAGCTAGAGTGCAGTGGCATCATAGTAGCTCACAGCAACCTTAAACTCCTGGGCTCAAGCGATCCTCCTGTCTTGGCCTCCGGAGTAGCTGGGACTACAGGCGTGAGCCACCACGCCAGGCTAATTTTCCTATTTTTTTTGTAGAGATGGGGTATTGCTCTCGCTCAGGTTGGCCTCGAACTCCTCAGCTCAAACAATCCTCCTGTCTCGGCCTCCCAGAATGCTAGGATTACAGACGTGAGCCACCACGCCCGGCCCGACAGTTTCTTAAAACAATGAAGTTTGCCACATTGATGGACTCTTCCTTTCATGACAGATTTATTTGTATCGTGAAATGCTGTTTGATAGCATTTTATTTACAGTAGAACTTCTTTCAAAATTGGAGTCAATTCTTTCAAACCCTGCCACTGCTTTACCAACTAAATATATATAATATTCTAAATCCTTTTTTGTCATTTCGACAATGTTCACAGCATCTTCACCAGGAGTAGTTTCTATATCAAGAAACCACTTTCCTTGCTCATCCATAAGAAGCAACTCCTCATTCATTCAAGTTTTATATGCTTTTGGTATTATATCTAAGAAACTATTGCTTAATCCAGGTCATGAAGATTTATGCCTCTCCATTTTCTAAGAGTTTTCTATCAAATTGGTACTAATTGATAAACATTTATGTGCATATATGGAAGTAACATTCATTGGGTGTTGGGCAGGTGGGGGGGAGGAGGGGACGGTCATGTTCACATCTAATGGGTGCGGTGCACACTGTTTGGGGGATGGGCACACTTGTAGCTCTGACTCAGGTTGTATAAAGGCATTGTATGTAACCTAAACGTTTGTACCCCCGTAATATTCTGAAATAAAAAAAGTTTCATAATTTTAGCTTTTATATTTAGGTCTTTAATTTATTTTAAGTTAACTTTTGCATATGGTGTGAAGTAAGGGTCCACCTTTATTCCTTGCTTGTGGATATCCAGTTGTTCCATTACCATTTTTTGGTTTTTATTCTTATAAATTTAAGTTGTGTTTTATGGCCCATAATGTGGTGTATGTGGGAAGAATGTGTATTTTGCTGTTGTTGAATGAAATAGTCTATAAATGTCAATTAGGATCACTTGATTGATGGTGCTGTTCAGTTCAACTGTATCCTGACTAACTTTCTGCCTGATGGATCTGTCAATTACTGGTAAAGGATGTTGAAGTCTCTATCCATAATAGTGGATTTATCTGTTTCTCTTTTCAGTTCTGTCAATTTTTGTTTTATGTATTTTGATACTCTGTTGTTAGGTACATTCACATTAAGGATTGTTATGACCTTGTTGGAGAATTGGCCCTTTTATCATTAACACATTAACTGCCATGGGAGTTGTATTGAACTCATGCTAGTTGTTTTTTTTTTTTTTTTTTTGAGACAGAGTCTGGCTCTGTTGCCCTGGCTAGAGTGCCGTGGCATCAGCCTAGCTCACAGCAACCTCAAACTCCTGGGCTCAAGCGATCCTCCTGCTTCAGCCTGCTGAGTAGCTGGGACTACAGGCATGTGCCACCATGCCCGGCTAATTTTTTCTATATATATATTTTTAGTTGTCCAGATAATTTCTTTCTGTTTTTAGTAGAGACGGGGTCTCGCTTTTGCTCAGGCTGGTCTCGAACTCCTGACCTTGAGCGATCTACCCGCCTCGGCCTCCGAGAGTGCTAGGATTACAGGCGTGAGCCACCGCGCCCAGCCGAACTCATGCTAGTTTTGAGCCCGGGGCCTCATGAAGCATATGTGACTCACACGTTTCTTCACCTTGGGAGCTGCAGGAACTATTTTCCAAGTTGCATGTAACTCATGCACAAAACATAATAAAAAAATAACAAATTTTTCATTAAATTAGAAAGGATTGTTTTGTTTTTGGAGTTTTTATTCTATTTTTGTAATAAAACACTGTGGCCCCAAGGAAAAATTTTTTTTTCTAGTGTGGCAGTCAATGTGTTAAATATCTATTAATATATATGTCAAAACACAGGCCGGGC